CTGTCCGGTCTGCAAATCTATGTGTGCGCGCGCGTCCGTGTGTGCGTGCGTGTCTGTGCATCTCCGTGCGCTTATGTGTATGTATCCATGCTCACACATATGCCTGTCTACATGATCATGTGTGTGTGGGTCTGTATGTCTGTAATTCTATGTATGTATGTGCCTGTGTGTCCGTGTGTCCGTAAGTCTATACGCGTGTGTGTGTGTGTTTATGTCTGTATTTCCATAAGTCTATGTATATTGTCCGTGTGTATGCACGTGTCTGTGTGTGTGTTCAGGTCCCTGCGTATGTATGTACATGTCTGCGTACCTGTATATGTCTATGCGTGTGTGTGTGTATGTATGTGTGTGTGTGTGTGTGTATGTGTATCTACGTATCAGCTTTACTTTTACGATAAAGAGGCGGTATTGACGAGGTATGCAATTCATAAAGATTCACCTTCGGTGAAATCAAAGCGGCTGAATAAACGAAAACTCAACCATTAGCAATTAGCCTCTTTATCTTAATTTGCTTAGCTAAATATTGCTAGGATGGTTAATTAATCTTTAACATATATTTCTTGATAATATTATGTCAGTATTATCAGTGAATGATAATGAGGAGCTATTTTGATAAAGCATATCATTTGCATGATAATATGTCCAAAGTTTAAACAATTGAAAGCATCAGTTGATAAATTCGATAAATTTCAATTTCTTCTTTGGAAATATCAATCTCAAAATGAAGAAAGAAAAAGATTTAATAATAAAAAATTAAAACTTAATTTTAATAGAATTGAATTAAACTAAACAAAAAAAACAAACAAACAAACGGAAGCAAAAAAGCTTACTGAATGAATCATTTTAAATTGATGTCACCGAAGCCATTAATTTATGGCTTAAAAAGAATATCTTCATTTTATAACAATTATTTGTTTTATCCTCATCCATATATCGTTATGTAGCTAGTTTTTTTTTTTCTCTGTTTTTTTTGGGAAGTAAAAGAACGAAGCATTGACGAGAGTGGGATTCGAACCCACGCCTCCGAAGAGACTGGTGCCTTAAACCAGCGCCTTAGACCGCTCGGCCATCTCGCCTCTGGCATAAATATCCTCAATATTTAATCCAAATGAATGGATTTCATTAAATTATTAATGAATTATTACTGTCATAAAAGTATTTTTAGGCTGTTTAAAGTTGAAAAATGCCACAATAACAACAGGAATATCAAAGTGTAAGTAATATTTTAATTAATTAAATTAATTTCGATTTCAGATTTATGCATTAACAAATAATTGATATTATTTCACATTTATATTGCTTAATATTATGCTTGTTTACAAGAATGATGAAAAATCAATCGATTTGAATGCATAACAATTGTATGAATAAAGTATAAATTGGAAAATTAATTATAATCAATCAAAGATTTTTATCAAAAAGACTAAATTTTTTTTATACAAATTTCAGAATTACAAATTACAATAAAAGTAGATATTTAATAGTGACCAATGTATATAGCTGAACTCCTACAAAATGATGTTACTAAAAATATTGGCCATTAATAATGACCAATGAATATAGCTGATTGATTGATGTTTTTCATTCGCCTGGAAAATTAAGTTACTAAAAATACTGGTCATTAATAGTGTGATCAATGATATATAGCTGATTGATTGATTGATATTCTTCATTCTCCTAGAAAATGAAATTAATAATAGTGTAAGATTAAGTTACTAAATATTGGTCATTTGATAGTGACCAATGATTGATAAAGAAGATTAATAAAGAAGTTAATAATCTGATCATGTATAAACTTATTCCAGGAAATATTTCAGCTATCTATAATCTATTCCGATAATTATTCATTATTAATTATGAATAATGATAATATATATTATAATGCATAAAAATGTTAAATAATAATGAAAATAACAATTGAAATTATAAATGCTTTTCAAATATTTTTTTTTCTATCCATTTATTGAATTATTTAAAAGTTAAAAAACCAAAGATCATAGCTTACTTTTTTTTTATCATTTTTAAATTTAATTTTTACATTTTTTTTGAAAAATGTATCTCATGCCATTCGCTAGTTTTGCATAACAAACGATAGGACCATTCGGCAGCAAAAAATATGGATGCATTTGCTGGAATTGCTCTAGAAAAAAAAAATAAAAAATAAAAATGAATGGAAAATTTTTTCAAATGAAATTCGTAAATTAATTTTGATTAAATTTTTTTTAAAGTTTTTGGTAATTAATTATTTTTTTATCACTTATTTTAGCAAATACTTCAACTAGTAATTTAACAAATACTATTAATTTATAGATTTAAATTTAACGTATCATTTCAATAATACACTTAATTACAGTAATATTAAAGAACAAGCCATTGCACATATCAGATATATAAAACAATCAAACACATTACACTCATCTTATTTTCAAAATTTTCATTTGAAAATTTTAAACGATTGAATTGATTGATATTTTAATTTCATAAATGAATGATATAATTACGCATACTGATAATATGTTGATTTATCAAACTATACTATTTTTGAACTACTCTATTAGCTAATCATATTAGCTACTTTATTAGCTAGTTTAATTTTAATCTAGTTACTTGTAAAATTTCTATAACAATTTTAAACTTCTTAAAAAAAAGAAATTTGTCAAAATTTAACTCATAAATAAATGTATTATTTTAGTAAGCTAAAAAAAAATTGAATAATAAATATTACCGTAAAATAGTAGCCGAAATGCCAGCAAAAAAAACCTTTGATACCATATGTTTTCATAATATTTTGACAAACTTTTTCCATATGAATGTATGCTATCATTAGCTTGAAATTGTGTTTTTATTACATCCAATGGATAATTACATATCCATGACATTATACCCGCAATACCTGAAATATAAAAATAAAAATTTTTATTTTATAAATTTTAAAAATTTTATCT